TTGCATTCATCTCTGAGTCTCTGAGTGGAGAATTCAGGAGTGATTTTCACAAGGGCTCTGCTGGACCTGGGCTGCCCTGCCGCAGTGCCCAGGGGACCAAGCATGGTCTGGAATGAGCATCTGCTCCAATACTGCATGAAATGCTGAGAGGCTTCAGGTCAGGGAAGTCCAGTGGACTTGGCTGGGTTTGCTGATATCAGGAGGGAGGTTCTTTTTTTTAATTTAATTTAATTTAATTTAATTTATTTTTAAAATTAAAGTAGAGTTGATGTACAATATTATATGTTACAGGTGTATAATACAGTGATTCACAATTTTTAAAGGTTATACTCCATTTATAGTTATTATAAAATATCGGCTGTGTTCTCTGGGTTGCATAATATACCCTTGTTGCTTATTTTGTAGATAATAGTTTGTTCCTCTTACTCCCCTGCCCCTATATTGCCCCTCCCCCTCCCTCTTCCCACTGGTAGCCACTAGCTTGTTCCCCGTATCTGTGAGTTTGTTTCATTTTTATATTCACTAGTTAGTTGCATTTTTTAAGATTCCACACATAGGTGATATCATACAGTATTTGTCTTTCTCTGTCTGAGTATTCACTTAGCATAATGCCCTCCAAGTCCATCCATGTTGCTGCAAATAGCAAAATTTCATTTTTTTTAATTCCTGAGTAGTATTCTAGTGTGTGTGTGTGTGTGTGTATGTGTGTGTATATATATATATACACACACATCACATTGAAGTGATTTTTTTAACACCTTTATTATGGTATGGTTCCTGTAGAGTAAACTACATATATTTCAGATGTACACTTTGAAGAATTTTGATAGATGTGTACACCTATGAAACCACCACCACAATCAAGATAGCTAACATTTCCATCACTCAGGAGGGAGCGTCTTGAACCCAGGCTCTGGTGATCTCCATATCTGGTGTAGGAGCCTAGATGAAGCATCTCTCTGGAGCGCTCGAGGGCAGAGGACTTCTGCAGGTGGGATGGGAATGAACAGCAGAAGACAGTGGGCGACCAGTGGACTCATGCAAGAATCCCCAGGGGTCCCCAGTAATAACTGGGGGAGATTTGGTTGGAGTGGAAGCTCTGTAATAGCAAGTGGGAGTGACACCTGGTGAAACATGGTGACATCTGTAACTGTGAGCCCCTCTGAAGACAGGTAAGACTGGAAAACTTCGGTTACCCTAAAACAAAGGCACCCTAAAATAAAAGAGTCTGCTAAGTAAGGGGGAAGCTATGATGTTTTATACTTCATATGTCTGGGATGAGGGCTACTACTGCATTCTTCATCTTCTTGTTCTGCTCCTTACTTGCTAGGAACTATTTAGAATCTCCCCACCCACCCTGGCCCTATATTTTTAACAGGATGTTTCTCTCTCTTTCTATTAAAAAATATTTTTTAGATTTAGATTTTTCACTTTGAACAAATAGACTTATCAGAGGTTGTGTAGAGTCCAGAGAACAACTGTGAACTTGCGCCCACTCCCCCCAGTGGTGGTGTGTTGCTAATTCTCGTGCATCATTAAAACCAGAGAACTAACACAGACACAGTACAATCAACTAGATGACAGACCTTATTCAGATTTCACCAGTTTTTGCAAGTACTCATGTTTCAGTATGTCTTTGGGCATAATTCTATGATATCTTATCACATGGATAGATTCCTAAACCACCACAGCCACATCTCAATCACTTTAGCTTCATAGCAGCAGAAAATATGTTAAAAACCTATAGTGTAATGAGGAAGAGCAGGAGTTTTGTCAACAGACAGACCCAGTTTCACACACTGGTTTCTCCACTGGGCAGCTGTGGGACCTTGGACAGGAATGGTAACTTAATCTCTGTGAGCCTGCTTCCCCATCTGTAGAATGGGGATGATAAAAATAGTGCCTGTTTTTATCTGGGGTCGTCTTAAAGATAAAATGAGATCAATCCCATAAGAGCATGTGCAATATGTTCTGCTGTCATCAGGATCCAGTGTCAATGTTTTGACTTTATGACTTAGGGTTGCTGACTCAGCTTCTAGAATAACTAAGGTTCTTAAGAAAGAACAAACAGTAGGAGAACCTGCATACAACGTACTTAGCCCACTGGGGCTACACTTCTCAGCTCCCCTCCCTACGACTTTTGCCTGTAATAACCCAATGCCAAGGTCCTTGACCTCCTCACAGAAGCCCTGGAACGGAAACTCCTCGGAGGCTCTGTTTGACTCTTCCTCATCTTCCTTTATCTTTCCAAGGATCTTTGCAAAACCTCACCTCTGCTTTGCATCTGCCTTACCACCCTTCCCACTCCTGACCCTCAACGCCTTATTTTTAAATCATGGCCAATGGGAGCAACTCATGTTGCACATATGAGATCATTGTATACAGAAATATGCATGTGCAAACCTGGATTTTATTTAAGGGGAACTTGGCTGGAGAGAGATTACTATACTTATGTTGACATTCATTTCTTTTTCTCTCTCTCTTACTCTCGTTAGATTGTGAGCTCTTTGAAGGCAAAGGTTCTTTGAGTTGTTAAGCCACTGTTTGGGCACCCGTGAATGCTGACCTCCCAGATAACAATAATCCCACACAAATAATGGTAGCTTCCACTGTGTGGACCCCCTACATCCTTGCCACAGTGCCTGAAGTTCTAATTCATTTAACATCCTGCAAAATAGATATTATAATGATCTCTATTTTGTGGATGCAGAAACTGCGACTCAGCCTGATTAAACGACCAGCCAGAACTTGTTCTGTTTTCTCCCCAGAACCGATGCACTCTCCACTTTGACAGGCTGCCTCTCCTTCCATGTCTGCTTGATTAGTAACAGAAAACTCCTCATGCAGCAACCGGGGATAGGGTCATCTGTAAAATGGTGCTATGCGTCTCTGTCTTGTTTATGTCACAGGATCCTTAGTGAGGATCCAATGACCTGGTGTTGGGGACCGCCCACTGCAAACCATGGCAATGTGAACAGCACGCATACACTGAGGGACTCGTCATTCTCCACTGCTTGTAGAATAGACATTTCTTAACGTTGCATCTTTTCTACTCCATCTACTGTCAGCCCCTGACCTCACCCTGCAGTGCTCTCCTAGGCACACGGGAGGAAATGCGTTCAGATTCACCTTACATGTACTGAAAGCTGTCTTTGTTGTAGCCAATTCCACGTGGGTTTTTCTTTTTAAACACAGTCTCTGTGAATGCTCACAATAACCCTGCCATATAGGTACTATCCTCACCCTTGTTTCACAGATGGGGAGACCAAGGCTCAGAGATTGAAGCAATCTGCCCAACATCACACAACCAGTGGATTTGGGTTTTGAATGCAGGTCTGTCTGACTCCAAGGCCAGTGCTCTTAAATAAAAGTCTATATTTTTAACAGCTTAAAATTCAAAATGTATAAAAGAGAACTTGGTGACTGTCTTGTCTTTTGGCCCCTGAGATCTCTTCCTTAGAGAAAATATTACCATTTTTTGAGTTTTCTCCCAGACTTCTTCTAAGCATATTAATTAGATATGGGATTATATTAGTTTTTCTCATTTTCCCCACATTCTTATGTACTGTGCTTTTTTTTCACCTAACAATGGACCTTGAGGTCTTTTCACAATCAATTTATAGACATTCTTCACATTTTTCTATAGTTGCCACTTACAAGCGATTCACACCCACAGTATCAGTGAACCAGATGACTCTTGGTAGACTCCAAAAAAAGCTCAGGGCTGGAGATGCTGGTGGGGAAGACAGGCTACAGGCTTAATTTAAATATTAATAATAATATTAAACATTTACTGTGCCTTTATTCAGTGCTGGGAACTGCGCTAAACACCTCACATGGATTACCTCATTGAAGCGTCAGATAACCCTGCAAGATGTGTGCTGTCATTCCTGTTTTAAGGATGAATAAATGGAGAGCATGGGATTTAGCACGTGAGTACGTTTCCCAAGACCGCATAGTTAGCAAACGACACCGCTGGGGTTTGAGCCCTGGTTGTTTGATTTCACACTCAATCATTGCACCAAATCACAGCCCAGGAGAGCAGAGGATGACCTTCCTGAGTCCTTCCCTTTTCCATGCTTGACTTTTGTCTTTTCAAGAGGCCTTCCCCACTCCCTCCCCCACCTCCAGGCTACCTCTTCTCTGGCAAGACTCAGCTTGTCCCACCTACCTCTCCCTCCCCGATCTCTGATCTCTTCTTAGTCCCAGTTCCCAGCTTTTAAATCTCCGATTTCCAGAGGAGCGGTGTTTATATTGATAAACAATAACAACTACGTAAGTCTCCACTGTGATACAGGAAAAAAAAAATGTGGGGCGAGGGGATGGCTGTCTCGCAGATCTCAGTTGAGTCCCTGGGATGCACCCCGCCAAGTATGGGTTTTTGGTTTTGGGAAAGAATTCAAGAGCGAGCTTTAGTTGAGTAAAGGTAGATTTATTCAGAGCAATACATACTCCATAGACAGAGTGCAGGCTGTTTCAGAGGGCAAGAGGAAAACCATGAGGTGTCGGGTTGGGTGCTCAGCTTAAAGTAAACGGAGACACACACTCCATAGACAGAGTGTGGGCGCCTCGGAAGGCGAGGGAGTAAGAAGCCATGAGGTACCAGGATGGGTGTTTAAAGCTGGTCCATCTCACTCAGAAGGGAGAGTGGCCACGAGGTGCGGGGCGGAGGGGAGATGTGGGGGGTTGTTAGCTTTTATGGGCTCGGTGGGTAACTTTATATGCTAACAAGTGGGCAGATTATTCCAACTACTTTGGGGAAGGGGTGGGGATTCCCAGAATTGGGCCCCGGCCCACTTTTTGACCCTTTATGGTCAGCCTCGGAACTGTCCTGGCGCCTGTGGGAGTGCCTTACCATGCTGATAGGTTGCAGTGGAGCGCACGTGTACTGTTATGATGAAGCGCAAGGTCCACCGGCAGTGGGCGCTCCTGCCGTGCTGGGCGCAAGGCCTGCTGGGAGTGGAGTCCTCCGCCATCTTGGTGTTAGTTGCTGAGTCATTCTTTTAGTGGTTGTGCGCGGCCCTCTCCCTCCTGCATCTACTGGACCTGAGCCTGGCGGAATTTCGGGTGCTGAGGTGAGTGGGGGGGTGGGGCAGATTATTTTGAGATTGTATGTGTGTGTCCTGTCCTCTTAAATCACTCGGTGAGCAGCTGCCTCTGTGAGAAGCTTGGCTGAGGGGCTACTGACACGGTCAGGAGTTAGGTCAGGAAGCCTCTGCCTCTGCGGCAGTGATGGCTGAGAAGAGTTCTCTGGTGCTGGCCCCAGCCCTCCACTCACTGGCCTGAACGCCCACCCGGTAGCAAGGCTGGTGTCAGGAAGGGCAGAGGAGAAGGACCAGGACAGCTGGTGACGAAGGAGATGGTGATGCTAGGGGCGGCTTTGTCTCTTTATTCTAGTATTCTCCCTCAACCGGCCCCAATGATAAAAGCTGCGCCTAGTGGTTGAAAACCGTCAGCCTTGGAAATTAACTGGCCACATGACCTCCAGCAGGAGGGTTACTCACTGTCAGGTGGGGTCAATAGTGCTGTCCTCACAGGAGGAAGGAGGAGGGACTGAGCCGAGCTGAGCTAAGAGGTAATGTCAGCACATGTACCGACCGCGTTTGGCCCCACGCCTGGCGCAGAACAAGAGCTTAACAAGCGGTTATTGTTGTTGCCGTTATTTCACTCAATGACTTCAATTCTTCCCTCTGCTTTAATCAACTCCTTTCCCTGCTCCTGAATGTTTATTTCTTCTTTCCTTTCTTTTGGCTAACCAGGGATCCAGGAATGCCTACATGACCTTCCTGTTGTGCGGGGCCGTCAAAACCTCACGGGGCACCTGCCCTTCCTGAGAAGGAAGGACTCTTGGGAGGATAGCGGGCTCACCAGCCCTAGACCCTCTGGAGCCTGGGCCCCAGAAATAGGCAAATCCCCAGCCATAAGCAGCAGGACTCCCCCCCCCCACAGTTTTATTGAGAAAGAATCGACATTGTATACACCATTGTATAAGTTTAAGGGGTACAGCATGATGGTTTGATTTACATATACTGTGAAATGATGACCACAGTAGGTTCAGCTAAGGTCCATCACCGCATACAGATACTATAAACAGAAAAAGAAAAAGGAAAAAAATTTCTCCTTGTGATGTGAGCTTTTAACTCCGTTCCTGTGTATCACACAGCTGTGCTAACTGTAGTCATTATGTTGTGTATTACATCCCTAGTAGTATTTATCTTCTAACTAAAGGTTTGTACCTTCTGCTTGCCTGTCCCCAGTTCTCCTTGTCCCTATCCTCTGCCTCTGGTAACCACAAGCCTGATCTCTTTTTCTATAAGTTTGGCTTTTTTGTTTTTTGCTTTTTTAAAGATTTCACGTATAAAGGAGTTGATACAGTATTTATCTTTCTCTGTCCAACTTATTTCTCTTATGCTAAGGGAAATAAGTCAAGGCCCATCCATATTGCCACACATGGTAGAATTTCCTCATTTTTTATGGCTGAATAATATCCCAGTATATATATAATGGAATATACATATGTGTATGTATGTGGGTGTGTGTGTATATATCTCACACAACTTCTTAAGCCATTCATCCCCGACACTTAGGCTCTTCCCATGTCTTGGCTGTTGTAAATAATGCTGCTATTAGCATAGGGGTGCAGATGTCTTTTTGAGTTAGTGCTTTTGTTTCTTTTAGATATATTCCCAGAAATGGAATTGCTGGATCACATGTTGGTTCCACTTTTAATTTTTTGAGGATCCTCCATTCCTGTTTTCCATAAAGGCTGTACCAGTTTACAGTCCCACCAACCATGCACAAAGTTTCCCTTTCACCACATCTTCTTAAGTATTTATATGTCTTCGATAATCACCATGCTAGCAGGTGTGAGGTGATATCTCATTATGGTTTTAATTTGCATTTCTCTAATGACTAGTGATATCAAGCATCTTTTCATGTACCTGTTGGCTTTTTCTATAACCAGAAGGACATTTTAACTGGTTTCAATTCAGTAGATTTTGATTAAGAACTGGTTATATGTTGGGGAAACCCAGAGGCAAAAGAAACACAAACAGACCATTTGGGGCATCTCCTTGCAGTTGAGACAGTTTACTGAGGTACACAAGCCTAGCCCTGGGAGCTGTCTACCCTCGCTTTCTCCAATCCGCTCTTCCCGTTTCCTCTTGGATCTTGTCCAGCCTGGGCGACTAGGACACCCCCTCCCTGGATCTCCTCCTCACTAGCTGGCAGCCCCTTCTCAGTCCCTTTTGCTGGTTCTTCCTTGTTTCCTCCCTCAGTGATGTCATCCAGTCCCGTGGCTTTAAAGACCACCTTGACTCTGAGGACTCCCAGGTTCATGTTTCTTGCTGTCTCTGGAGGCCCAAGGCAACCATCTGCAAGCTAAAAAGAGTTCTCACCAGAAACCGAGTTGGCCAGCATCTTGATCTTGGGCTTCCAATCTAGAAATATGAGAAATGAATCCCTGTTGTTTAAGCCACCCAGTCTATAGTATGTGGTTACTGCAGCTCACGCTAGCAAAGACATCAACTAACTTCATTTGCTGAGACTGAGGGTTTCTCGGGATGTGGGACTTTCAGTGGTAAAACTGGGACGAATTGGTCACCCTAAGTCTGTCGCTTTCCAAAGTGTGCTGAGCTGGGGGAGGTGTCTCAGACTTTTCTGCCTCTCCTTTCTCAGCGCCTTCCCCACACACCTCCTCACCCTCACACTTTTAATAGCTGAGATCTGTGTAGGAGAGCTCAGGCCTCTGACACCACCCCGAGGGGCGCGCCCAGTTCTCCCTGCACAAGGGGAGGCTCTGATCCTCGGGAGGCTGAGGGGCAGCAGGGCTTTCCCAGGGAGGCAGTGCTGTGGAAAATGACTCTGGCCCGAGAGTCCCTGGTTTCTAATCCTGGGACCATCACGTCCTGGCAGTGTAACCCCAGGCATGTCACTTCGGGTCCTGCATTGCCCTGCTCCAGAGGGTGTCTGGGCCTCAAGGGACTCCGGGTGAGGCCCTCCGGGTGCCATTCACGCAGAACACAATGCAGATGGTGGTGCTTTTTTAGCCTTGGGCAATAGGACTGAACAGAATCACTTTATCTCAGAGTCCATTTGCTGAGCTTGTCGAGAGGAGAAGATAAGACCTACTTCATGCAGAGAGAATTCAACAAGATAACGTCTTTGTAGGTGCCTGATAAAATATTAGCTCTTATTCCCTTCTCTTCAAGCCCCCACGTAGGCAGGAAGATATAGCACCGTAGTTAAGGCTGTGGGCTTTGGTTCCAGACTGCTACACAGAGTTTAAGCTGTGTGATGTTGAACAAGTTAATTAACCTTTCTGGGCTCCATATTTCATGGCACAAAATGAGGATGGCTGACCTTTTCTATTTCATAAGATGCTGTGTGTACAGCACCCCTGCAACTCCTGTACTTGGAAAAGGCCCAGTGCGAGTGAGTGGGACTCAGCTCTCTGTAAGAGACCATCTTCCTCCCCCTTTCTCTCTTTTCTTCTTTGATCTTCTGCCTCTGGGCTTTTCTGGGGAAAGGGAAATCCTTTCTTTAAGATCATGTGCTTTTTCACCTCCTCCACTGAGGGTGACTGTGGGGGATACAGTGTGAGTGAACCCCTCAGCGGATGATTACTGAAATTGTAAATAGGAGGCAAAGCCCTGGCTGGAGGCCACGGGAGCCCAGGGCAGGGAAGACACAGCCCCTGGCCTCAGGGTTCTCAAAGGCAGCGCTGAGGGGCTGCATGAGGGAGCGCCTCATAGGGCAGAGGTGCTGGGAAAGGGGCTCCTTGAAGTGAGAGGCCCTCCTGCTGGAGGGAGCCAGAGGACCTAGAGGAGTGGTTGGAGTTCTTGTGTTTAGTAGAAACTTCTGCATGGGTTCCTCACTCTCTCCTCCTCCGACTGAGCTTCTGAGTCAGAGTTGCAGAGGCTGGCTGGAGACTCAGCTGCCCCTTGACCTTTAAGGGGCATATTTCTAGAGTCCTTGGAGGCTGAGGGAAGATGGTGGGGTAAAAGATGCTGTCATGAATAATGGAGGTCAGCGATTCTCAACTCTGGCTGCACAGTAAACGCTTCTGCAGAACTAGAGATTTTGATTTAAATGGTTTGAGGTGGAGCTTAGGCATTTCGTACTTCAACTTTCAATTTTGAAAAATTTCAAGTCTGTAGATAAGTTGAAAGAAGAGTAAATGACCATTTAGTACCTTTTGCTTATATGCATATATCTTTTTATATATATAAATGTATACTTTATACATGTGCTGGAAAAAAGTCTGGATCACATGAGCGTAAGTTATAGACATCATTACCACTTCCCCTTGGATAATTCGGTATGCTTCTCCTAAAGATACTCTGCTACATACCACAGTACTGTGTTGCACCCAAGAAATGTAACGTTGATATAACATTATTTAATATACCTTCCATATTCAAGTTTCCCCTGTTGTTCCCAGAATGTCCTCAGTAGCCTTTTCCCCAAAACAAGGATCATGTATTGCATGTCTCCTTACTGTTCTTGAATAGAGAATAGTTTCCTCCAACTTTTTGTCCTTCTTGACACTGACATTTTTGAAGAATCTATGCTATTTCTATTTTGGAGTCTGGGTCTCTCTGATTATTCCCTCTGATTGAATTTAGGTAAAACACTTGGGTAAGAATACTGCATGGGTGCCGGGGGGAGGGTACAGCTCAGTGGTAGAGTGTGTGCCTAGCATGCATGAGGTCCTGGGTTCAATCCCCTATTAAAAAAATACATAAGTAAACCTAATTACCTCCTTGCTCAGACAAACAAAGGAATACTCCACAGGTGAGGCGTGCGTCCCACTATAGCACATTGGGGGCCTTTTCAGGTCAGTTGGTCCTGCTCTTAGTCATGCCTAGTTGATCCTTTGGTCAAGTGGTGTCCACCATATTTCTTCCTTGTACCTTTCTAATTAACAAGTAATCTGAGGGGATTATACTTTGATTGTATGAATATCCTACCAGCCTAGTAAGAGTGAGTACACTGATGACCTGCAGTGGGGTGGATCAGCACTTTGTAATACGGTAAAGGGTAACTTTCCTAATTCTGTCGTTCCCTCTATTTC